CACACACATACTGTATCCGAGACCCGGTGGCATCGGCCCAGTAACAATGGAGGGATTAGCGATCATATTTTACAGTCACGCAAAGGCCTCAAGAAATTTACACCACCACTCACTGTTAAATAGCTACGTACACTCGTAGTACAAAAGTAAACCTCTGTACATATTTCCTAATTCATCGAGGCCCTTGCAGAAGCCGCGTTAGCTAAGCCGCGCTAGCTGCGATCTCAGATGAACATTTTACTTTAAAGCTATGCTAGTCAGATAACAACTAACAGTTCAAACATTATATATATTTCATTCATTAAAAAGGTTGAACATACTGATAACTTTACCGTGACAAAAATGTTCCTCGCTCCTGCTCCAAGGTTATATAGCTAAATCATCACAAAAGAACCTAGCTAACAAACGATATCGTGTAGCTAACTGATAGCATCATCAACCGGAGTAAGTACGTTCCTTAAAGCTGCGATGCTAGCTAGTAGCTAACTATAGCACCATCAACCAGAGTAAGTACGTTACTTAAACTGCAATGCTAGCTAGCAGCCAGGTAGAAGGTACCGCAACCACGCTGGTGGGGAACCATGATGCCCATTATCGATAGAGAGCACGCGGAGGAAAATAAATATCATCCGGTATTTTTGATAGCCACCAACGTTATCCCTCTCACGCTCGCTTGATAACAGATGGGAGGCGTGCTTCCCTTTTGTTCACGGGCTAACGTTAGCTAGCATCCAGATGAAGTTACATTGTTTACGCTGCACGCACACAGAGTACAATTTTACAGAGCATCTTCCACCAACACCACCACCATCAAAAGTTTCTCTCATATTTACACTTAAGCTATCCAACCTTTTTTCAGTCCCGGGATACCGAAAGTGCAGACGCATCTAAACCTTCGTCTAAACTGGTTTCGGGTGAAGATGGCACATCGGTAAATAATAAACAACTATTTGCCTAACCTTTGGGTTTTAAATTAGCAAACATGGCTGGTGTGGTCCAGTGCAGCCATGAACAGAACAGCGCGAGCAGCAGCAGCAGTGGGAAATGTCCCAACAACAACCGCGTGCACTTCCGGTTACAGTTCCACACCAACTTCACAAGAAAGTACAACATAATCATATAACAACACAAAAAACAATATTTTGTAAAGTGAAGAGTATTTAGTGAGGTGAGAGATGAGCACATATATTTAAATAAATAATATAATTAAACATTTCAAGAACAAAAAGTTAAGTAGCAGCATTATAAAAAGTGAACAAGTAGAAAGAAATGCAGAATGACAGTAGTAAATACTATATTTCCTAGTGTGGTGACCACCTATTAATACACTGGGACATCATTCCTACATGGAACTACAGTTGGGATATTGTTCCCACACGGTTAATGGTTTACTATGTTGTGTGCCCTCCTGACTCATGGATGTATAATATGTGTAGAGGCTAAGCCAACGCTTTAAGCCGCTTGGTGGGTGTAATTGACGCACACAAGTTTGCTGCCGAATAAAGGTTTGAAACAGTCCATTTATTTCCATTTTTCTGCTTTCCATTTATTGGCTTCTTTCCATATTCACCCCACGATATTACCGTTTACACAATACCTTTGCTTTGCTTGTAATCCGTGTTGTGTGTTTGGTGTGTGTGTGTGTGTGTGTGTGTGTGTGGTGTGGTGTGTGTTGTGTGTGTGTGTGTGGTGTGTGTGTGTGGGGGTGGGTGTGGGTGGTGTGTGTGTGTGTGTGTGTGTGTGTGTGGTGTGTGTGTGTGTGGTGTGTGTGTGTGTGTTCCGTGCATAGAGGTTCCGTGTGTGCTCCTTGTGTGTGTGTTCCGTGCGTGGTCAAAAACGGTATGGGCCTTCCGGCGGAACCTCTCCCCAACACACATAGGTTCCTACCTTTATACCCACAATAACTCCTACAATAAGTCCTGACTTCCAGGGGCGGTTCTAGCCCCCCTAACTATGAAAAGGTTTTTTTTTTGGTTTTTTTAAATGTATATTTTCTGGTACTCGGTTTGCAAAAAACCCGCAGGATTTTGTTTCTGTAATGTGAGATTGTGCAGACACCCTTATGTAAAGTAGAGATGTAACTGTTCATTGCCTTTATTTTTATATAAATATGGTGTTAGTGCAAACATTGCACCATAACTTAAGCTGAAGCTAACAGTAATAACTATAAGATCTATCTGAAATAAATAAGTGTACTGAAACAAATACCAATAACTGTATTGCATTGTTTTCTTATGCGCAATTACTTCATACTGTCTAGTTCTCTTTTCGTCCTGCATTTATTGTGCCCCTCTCAGAAAATAACTGGCCCCCCAGTGGCCCCCCCAGTCAAATTGGTCTAGAACCGCCACTGTTGACTTCACTCTCTTCTTCCCGGACTGCAACCGGACAACATGACCTTAGTTGCTTCTAAATAAAGTACCCTTTTGCACCTTCCTTGCACCGCCTCTGACTCCCTATCTCTCGGCACTACACTAGTATATAAGTATAAGTTGCAGTTTTATGTGACAATATTGTTGTTACATGTGTAGCACAATGAATAAGCAGCCAGCAGTAACATTTAAATATAGCAATGAACAGCATTGTTGTTATAGTCCGAGTTGTGTGTGTGGTGGTCTACAAGGGGCAGTAGTCTGACCGCTGGGAAGGAAAGACCTTAGTATGAGTAGAAGTATTAGTAATAATTGTAGTATAAGTAGTAGTAGTATAGTGATGGCGAGATGAAGCCTTATGAAGCTTTGAAGCTTTCCAGCCAATTGGTTCTCAAAAGGGTTCATCTCATATCTTTGATTTCGCACGGAGTAAATGGATACCTATGTGGGGGTCAGCAGTTCAAATCCCCAACATGTGAGAGGCACAATGGCAAACTCCATTGCATGGAAATAAAGAGGCTGTGGTAATTGAAGTGAAATAAATAGAAAAGAAAAACTGAAGTTAGGTAAAGTTTAGAGGCTTAAGTCCACTTTTCTCTAAATGACATGTTCAGGAAACCCGGCTCCACAGTCCTGGCCTTGGGTTTTTCTGGAACAGATCTGAAAGATTGATGGTTATTTCTGGCGATGAGTTCAAACAAATGTTCTTTAACAATATCTTTGTGTGGCCTTGTAACCCTAATAAACATAGAAGCCAATCCTGTGAAATTTGACTGGAATATGTACTGGTGTCTTTGGCTGAAGGGGTAAATGGATGCCTAACAACCAGAGGGTTGCTGGTTTGACTCCCAGCATGGCATGCGTGTGTGGGTCAAGGATGCTCAAGGGTGAACAGAGTACAGTAGATGCCCCACACTAAAAAAATAAAATATATATATGTTTTCAATAAAATAATAATAAAACAAATACAATTAAATAATTGTACAAATACACGGAAATAAAAAGTGGTAACAAATAAAATACAATAACATATTAGTAAGATTACAAATAATAATAATTCAGGGTTAGTGCGGTGAGCTTCGGATCAGGGGAGGACTGGTTCAATCCTGCAGTCAGCATATCACTGTGTCCCCAAAATTGCTCCTGTGGGGACTGCCCACAGTATTGCGTAACATATATTTACTGTATATTAAAAAATATATAATAATAACATATTTCATAAAAACAATACAATACATAATTTAATATATCAAACATAATAAAAATAAATAATAATAATTATGAAAAATAAAATAAAAATACATTTGAAAAAATCAATAAACTATGAGTCATAGTCCTCCGGGGGACCGGAAAAAAACATAGGGGTAAACAAACTTAAATTAAAATAATTATATTAAATATATAGTAGAATAGCATAGTATAAATAATAAAATATAAATAATAATACAATAACAATTATAAAATAAAATAATATAAAATAAAGTAATTATATATAAAATAATTATAATTTTAAAAAAGTGATATCAATTTATAAAAATTATAATAATAAAGAAATGACAAGTAAAAATACAATGAATAAATAAATAAAATTATGATATCAATACATACATTATATTAAGTTATTCTTCATGCAAGGGGAATTGCCAACGACAGTTTTTTTTATTTAAAATAATTGCATCATTAGTACTTATGCAGTAATATACAACTTTGAGGTTGCACCAGTTTTATTTTATTATTATTTGAACGATAAATGTAGTGGAGTTTAAATCTGAAATGTAAAGGAGTAGAAGTATTTAATATAGTTTACCATTAAAAAAAATGATCTTGTAAAGTAGACCATGATAACTCAGAACTGTAGCCTCCTTAAGTGGAGAAGTTAGTACCTAGTTACAAAGTAATTATTATTGCCCAATGATTATACTGATGTGACGTGTATATTTAGTCAAACCAATTCAAGTCTGCTATCCTCTGAACAAAACAGTCATTCCCTTGCAGGTAGATGACCGTGCTTTTATTTTAATGTGCTTCAGGGTGAAAACAGGAACCGGTATTGCACATTACTGTCTCTTTCTCGAAAAAGACAGTAAGGAAATCAGGCCCAAGGAGGAAGTATGTTAATATTCTGGGCCGTGGGGCCTGCAGGTTATCTGGGTCCTAGCACCCAAATAGGAGTGACATTAACACAAAATCATACTGATGAAGATATAATGTATATGTATGATTTATTCTATTAAATTCAAAGTTAAAAGTGTTTTAAAAATGCAATGTAATGTAATTTTAGATAATATTCTTAAGGTTGAACATCATAAAAGCAGTATAATAATTGATTTCATTATCACAATGCCAAACCAAACTATCACAACACAACGCAGTGATGCTCTCTGAAGGTGATCACCAAAACAGGGCTCAATTATTACAAGGTTCAAATGTAAGAGATATTACGGCATGACTGTCGGCTACTGTGGTTGCCTTTAATAGTTCAAATACCGTATCCATAGTACATTTCAGTTAAAATAAATGTAATAACATTAGGATTTTCATAAGCTATTCTTTCTCCAAATAATTTGTATGAAAATTAAATGGTAAACCAAAACACAAGTCAAATGTCATAAGAAAAAAGGCATTAAATGATTCTTAAACAGTTTATTAGAAAGATGTAGACAATAAAAAAAGAATTTCCACTGTAATTCAACATTTGTCTCCCCTTACATTTTATTGACAGTGCAAATATAATTTGGTCATTACACGTGGTATCGTTCGGACACGCCCCCACTGAGAAGGGAGGATCATACTTGATGAACAAACGGAAAGAACCTGGAGAACAGCAACACACCAAATGATGCTTAGGCCCGACAAAGCTTCAAAGCCTCGTTATCAGTTGCAAAACATTTAGCCTTGCTTCTGCAGTCCAACAAAGGTATGCATGTTAGGTGGGTATGGAGAGAGGAACAGTTAAGATACTAAATATGTGGAATTCATTCAGATAACCAAAGTAGGTGATAAACTGGGAAGATGCTGAGCATGATTTCAGAATATTCCAATTTTACAAACATTAAACGAGAAGTAAAAGGAAACATGTAAGCTGGAAGGTTAAGCCACACAAATAACATACGGCTGGCTTCCTTGATATCTAATTCACGCACATGGAAGGCTTTAGAGGAACCCAATCAGTAAATCATCTAATTGTAAATGTACATAGCTAGTGTCTTTTGAATCAAGAGATAAACTACACTGGTCGACTTACTTATAACCACAACATTGGGAATGGGTGGGCCTAATCATTTTTTAAACCACAATTAAATTTGAAAACAAATTGTAACTCGTCTTAAACACATATTGCTCAGTTTAGGACAACTACACAGCTTTTCAAACAAATAGTGTGTGCTTACTTATTTTAACAGTAAAACAAGATACCCAAAAGGTGCAGTACAGCAAATGGAAGTGGAGATAGCTGCTGTACAATACCATGCATATCAACCTTCAGTGTACTGATCGGTCAAGAGTTTGGAGCTGAGGCTATGGATTTAAATATGGCTACTGACTCATATGTACAGTTGTTTGTCACTGCCTTCGGTTTCAAGATATACATTTGTTATGATTCCTCTTGCCTTCTGTTCTTTCATTTGCTTTCTAGAGTCTTACAGTCTTCTATTCCAAGTCTGGCATTTCTAAAAGAAAAGTGGAGCAGACATTAATTAAACATTTCATCACAACAATTGATCAACAATGTAAGCCATGATGTAGTGCATAAATACTTACTCTCATCATCGCTATCTGCGGACTCATCCTGAAAAGACAGAAAAGATGCAGTTCAAACGTGCAGCATAATAAACCCGATTAAATGGTTCATAACCATAAGATGACAGCCTTTGCCTAATTCATCGGTTTCTCTTTCAAATGTCAGAAAACATGAAAAAAACGTTGATCCAAATGTCTTAGATTTCAAAGTAACGTCTCGTTTAGTCAAAGCCCAATATATTAACTTTCATATGATATCAAACCAAATAAGTGACGAACTGAATTGCCTTATTTTGTATAAAACTAAATAGATTTATATGTTGATAAATAAATATGAATTCTATTGAATCCTAGTAATTGTGCAAACACCATCTCTTCTCAGGACAGAAAGGTTGGCTTCAGGAGGCTCAGAAGAACGAAAGTCACTGTATTCATCATCACTGAAGAGCAAAGGACAAATAACATCCCTTGGAAGTGCTTGATATGGTTGTAGTTTTACAAGTTGACTATTTGACTAATCTGATTAATATATAATCATTATATTTCTCAACATAAGCATACAAATTAAGTAAAAAGGGGGAAAGGGATACTTACATCTTCTGCACCACCGTCTAGATCAGGGATGTCCTCCTCACCTCCCATGGTGTTCATCATCTGTAATATAAAACAACATGTTGATCATTCAAATGTTTTTGTGACATCAGAACACTCAAAGTAGGACAAGGGCGGAAACATCTAGCACAGAGATTAAATAGCAGAGCTGTAGAGTTGAATTCCTATAGCACTAATTGAGTATAAATGGCCAACACTTGGATTGTAAGGATGCAACAATCTCCTTTTTTGTTTCCTACTAAAGATTACGGTATCTAAATGATTGGACACTATCAAATAACATACCACTGATGCAATTCCTTAATCAATTTTTGTTTCTCTGATATTAAAAGCTGATGTCACACATGTTGAAAGCTCTTTCGTGTGTCAAACATTGACTTCATTAAGGCATTTAGAAATGACTTCACTCATTCTGATCAATACAGTGCTTACATCTGAGAATTGATCAAAGTTGCCCATCTCCTCATCTGAGTCGTCCTCCCAGTCTTTCCAGTTGTTGAAGTCGACACTGAGCCAAGTCAGCTGTAAAAACACAAAATAGTGGTTTTTCATTAATCACTTTCAAATATTGTGCATATATTTAGTACATTGTGTTGCTAACCATTAGCATTTCAAATGAATGATACACACCTTAGCCTTCTCTTTTTTAGCCTCGGCCATGGCTTCCCTGGCTGTGCCTTTTTTAGATATAACAACACTGAGCGGTCTGTGCGTTTATGTTTGGATTCCTGCATTGGGGTGGACAGAAAACAGAAATATTTGGTGTCAGATTTTCATTTTGTACATTTCAATCTGCACCATCGACATTTTACAAAAGCCATATTTATCAAAGCATTGATTCAGAGTAACTTACATTTTCATCGATAAGCTTCAAAAAGGTCCATTTCGTTCTCATGTCTGACATCGTCGGTTCCTGCAAGACAACTGAGGGGGAGAAGACAAGACGTCATTATGGGGGAAATAAAAACAGAGGTATGGCATCAAATATAGGCAGTTAAAAACAGAACCAAAAGCAAAACATCCAACAAGGAACTCATGGTTAAATACTAATTGCCTTATTTTGTAATAAAAACTAAATAGATTTTATATGTTTGATAAATAAATATGAATGCTATTGAATCCTAGTAATTGTGCAAACACCATCTCTTCTCAGGACAGAAAGGTTGGCTTCAGGAGGCTCAGAAGAACGAAAGTCACTGTATATACATCATCACTGAAGAGCAAAGGGCAAATAACATCCCTTGGAAGTGTTTGACATGGTTGTAGTTTTTTGTGTGGCAATTTCTTTAAAATTAAATTCCTATATTGATTTATAAAATATTAAATGTTACGATAAGTACTAGGTGGACAACCTTACCCGTTTTCCTCTAACAAAACCACACAGCCAGATATTTGTGTGGACAGATATGAAATGCCAAAGTGTATATTACCAAGAAGTTATTATACTTGGAACTTAGTTTTAATTGTCATCACATTCTTCATGTGGAAATTTTGGTTTTTTATTCATTTATTTGAGTTTATTAGATTGTTGTGTACTGCAGTCATGTGTGTGAGCAGAAAATACAAATATATACTGAAACTTACCTAAAACCACACTTGGTTTTATCAAAATCGATTTTAAGGTCTTTGCTGTCCTTGCAACGCAGAACTCCTATAAAAAACGCAGTCCCTCCTTGTCGTACCACTTGGCAAGTTGCTGGATGCCTGTGGAGAAAAGAAGGATATCAAAACATGCAACAAGTCTTGATAATCTTACACAAAATTAAGCACACCACTCAACAGAAACAGAGCGCCTTTAGAGGGAGCATTTAAACAAGTGAATGGGCCTCCGGAAAAAAACAAAAAAACCTATTTTTTGTTATATATTTCAAAAAGGTAACAGCTCATCCGACCCACAACTTGAATACAATATACAGTTAGAAGGTCACATGTGCTGCTGACAGGTGGTCATTCTTCAGGCACCAAAAAAGCCTTTGCATCAGGTTGCCATGCAGCATCCAGTTACAGTGTGCTCCTGTGGTCAAGAAGCCTCAAAAAGTTAAACATCTCTGCAAGCTCAAATGTGAAAAGTCAAAGAATGAAATGTTTGGAAGTGTTGAGCATAACCTTTCCTGCACATTGTGAAAGATTATGCAACATCTTCACCTTGGTAGCCACAAAAAACTTATAATAATGCAAAATGCATTTAATGAAGTCCTAACTGTAATAATTAGTTTAACTCAATGAAATTACATTCCAAGATCTTTCATTGCTTGATAAACGTCTTTCTACACTGAGAGAACGCATTATGAGACGTGTGATTGCTCCCGGCCACTATTACATGAGATGTAATGCTACAGGGCAGTGGTTAGAACATGGAACAACGACGCAGTTTGTTTAGTAGTGATTTAGTTATTTATGTAACTACAGAAATGAGAGGGATTTCCTCTTTTGAGCGATGCAATTGATTATAGGAATGTAACGGGATGATAAGCTAAACTCCTCCAACACTTAACGCGGAACCAACCATTTCAGTTGCGTGGAAGCTAGCCTTAAAAAACACAAATGTTGATTAAACGTTGCTCAATCCTTTTCAGAACTTTGCAATTAGGCCGATATCTCTCCACAGTGTCAACTTTGATTTTCATATGCAGATCCCAGATATTATTTGTAATGCTTTATCATGAAAAAAAAACATGATGCTAATCTAATGATAGCTAGGCTACAAGGCAGACGTTAGCCCACTACGCTGGTTAAGCCATGCTGTGCACCTTGCCCAAGTAGCTGAATTTTTTTTCAGCTAATGCTGGGTCTGCAATAATAACTGGCGATGGTACATTGTGTTAATTTACTTAGTCCACGAGGTTCAAGCTAGGTAGCGAGTTACCGTTAGCTTACAGTTCATTGTGGCAAGGCCAACCTCCCGCCTTTGCACAAGCATGTTTGTCAGGCGGCTAATATTAGCTACATAGCTACTCAGCAGGTTGTACTATCGCACTTAGCATCCTCGTGGTTAACGTCTCCACAACTTACATGTCTCGACGTGAAGTGCGCTTCTTGTTCGTAGATAAAACAGTCACGGGAAAAGAATGGCAATGCCCGCCTGCAAATGAAGGGGAATGTATGCTGCCCACTAACAAGTAATGCAAACGCCTCTCGTATGATGTGGACTCTACTCCGGATCTTGTTGCGGTATCCCGGGATAAGAATGGCCGCCACTGACGCAGTTGGAACGTACTAGACGTTTCTAGAGTGTTCGGCTGCGGCTGAGGCCGCGTGTGATCGGGTGTGGAGCAAATCTAATGTGATTTACTATGGGTTCAGGTTAGTACCACCCAATAGGATCGCCTCCTATTGCCTCGAATAAACTGAATCATGAGAGATGAACTCACAGATGATATAGAGGATTTCTGGTTAGAGGAAATATATAATATAGACGATATTGCTTTTACGACATTTGAGTAGTCGTGTGAACGTCATCTCTGATACTATACTCCTATTACTAGAGCTACTACTACTACTATTAGTACTAATACTACTACTATAATAATAGTGACGAGCTTATTAAAATGATAGGGCTGTCTCTTTTTCTTCGGTTACTTATCGTAACAAGTCAGATTTTCATTCCTTTTTTTATTAAAGTATGCACAAATACTATTTAAACTGAGTGCATAAAACATTTTTAATTAAATGAAACGTTTCTATATAATTTATTCGGGCCGATTCTGTTATTAGGTCTATTAAATTCATGAACAATTGGGATCATTCAACATCACCATATTAAATATCTTGATTTGTGATTACATTAACATCAAAGATTAATAAAATAGGTGGAAATGTACTACAGTAATCGAAACAACTCTTGCACCTGTGTAGCAGTTATTGTAAAAAAACCTCGCCCTTTTTTGGCCAGATGTATGCTGTTAACCCATCTCAGTTCACACCATGGCACCAACACCCTGCATATCTCTCTATATCATGTTAGTGGTTTTGGGCTCTATGATCCATTGGTTTAAAAATGTGAGGAATGCCACCGTCAATTTAACAAGTCTTATAATGAGGGCAGAATGAAAGATAGCATACCTGTTTCACATCCTAAGAGGGCAAGTATTGTGAGGGTGTGGCAGGAGAAAGCTACGCAGCTCCCTCCACACAGGCAGGGTTTACAGGCTGTTCTTTCAGAGTTGAAGTAACCATTTTATGCTGAGAGTTTGGTATTAAACTCAATATACCTGCATTTATAAGAATAAACAAGCTATCATATCCTAACGAGTGCAACAAATTATACACAAAGAGGGCACGTTGTTTGCAGATAGTCATGAGTAATCAGCTTGTCTTCTGTAGAGCTTAAGATAAATATTCTTGGTCATTTGGATGACACATTTATAATGAAAGAAACCCTGACATAAGGGTGAGTGGATGTTTTAAGATGCCCCTATAAACAAAAGGATCTATAAAGTCGGGGTATTTTTGGCCTTGCTGCACCAATGGTGGACATTGTCTCACCAAGTGACTCTTCAACACAGAATAATGATACAAAATGGAGTCCTGAGCATCAGTTGTTATTTTATTTTAGAGTATGCTTACAATGCAGCTGACATTATGGCTGTCCAAGATTACGCCTTCAATAATAACCGAGGGCCGTTTTATGGGTGATGAAGTAAATATTTACATTTTGTTAAACACTTAGTAATACCATTTGTTTTCTAGTAAACACATTTTATTTGTTGATACTGTAAGTAAAATCCAGCTTTGTTTACCAGCTTACCGCCTTCCTTTTGTCTTTTCTTTTTGGACGTTACAGCCCCCTGTTGATCAATTTAATAGTGTGACAACTTTGTAAGTCATCCGCATACATGAGATAAAGAACACAGGGACTTATTCTGGGAAACATTGTAATTGTCACTCCACTTGAGTCTGAAGTCGACGCTGTAGTTCCCAATTGTCAGATTTAGATTTGAAGGAGAAAAAACAAACGACACATTGAGAACCTGTGGTGTCCCTCTGTGAACTCTGAAAAAGTAATGTGAAGGTGCAGTTTGCTTTCTGCTGAACACGCCTCACCTAGTACTATTTTAGAGGTCAAATAATATTTCACACAAAAGATTAGAAAACAGTCGAAGCATACCAATATGGAAACTTTTTTTTTTCCATATCCCATGACTCCCAAGGAACTATACATTTAAAATAATGAGTTTTTAAGTCTCTTGTTCATTCATGGATTTCTGGCCCTTCTCTGGCCTCAACTAAATTAAGAAGCATTTCTGCAACCCAGCTACAACAAAATGCCCCGATTCCCAATGAAGAACAAAAACAAATCAAAATTACATTTTATCAAGCCACAACTTTATTTCCATCTTGGGGTATAAATTGTATAAACGAGCTCAAATCAGCAACCTTTCTTTAACCCTTTTGTGCCAGGATCCCATTACATTGTCAACTCCTGCAAGAAAGGAACAAAAATGGTTCATTAACATGTGTTGATTTATGTTTTAACACAATTGTAAGAATATTTCTCTTCTCAGGACAGAAATGTGTCTTCAGTAAACTCAGAAGAACGAAAGTCACTGTATTAAATCATCACTGAAGAGTTCACGTTTATCTACAGAAGTATGAGCAAACCATTTAGAATGGCCTGATGAATCTAATTGTTTTACAAATATTAGATACAGTTGTATAAATCTTACCATAATAGCATTGACGATGTCATTGTTGTTGTTTTCAGAGCGCGTACAGCCTTCGCTCGCGACACGTTGGCTTGTGACATAACGAGTTCGATGTCCTTGACCTCAACTCCGGTCTCATCCACCTTGAAAAATAAGGGCAATGTTTTGTTAACATGATAACAAAAAAGGGTTTGCCTCTCCGAGAGTTTTCCTTGAATAAAAACTGTATCTCACCTCTTCTTCTTTCGCTCTCCTCCTGTACTGTTGGCGTCTGTGTGTTTTCCTGGATGTTGAAACTGCTTCTCCCTGTACCTTGAACTTTTCTGCGGCAGCCAGCTGGGCCTGCTGGGAAGAGTCTTCGATCTAGGGAACAAAGAGTAAAATGAAACATTATTTCAGAACATCTTCACTTGAGAGCCTTTTTGTAACATTTTGACCCGACTCATTCATCTTGGTTACAAACCTTAGCTTCACCGAAGACGATGTATGTGTCTGATGCAGGGCTCTTGTAGACGTCTGGTTGGTGATGACAAACAAGATGTTTCTTTGACTTGCGAATAGTGACCCTGGTGACGCCCGTTACCTGCCTGAGACCAAGCTTTGACATTGCCTGCAAGAAATACAAGTCATATTACAAATGTGTCCAATTCTGAGCTTCAAAGTAAGTAGAACAGTGCAAATGATGCAATTACCTTTCGTGCTTTCTTTTCACTGCGGCTCTGTTTGGCTTTGCTGACAGGTTTCCTCGTCTATTTTCAGCTGCTGCTGCAAGCTGTAAGAGATGACATTCATCCACATTTTAGAATGGTTTAAAATAGGTTTATGTAGATCAGGAAATGTAATTGAATCCTAGTTTATTGTGCAAACACCATCTCTTCTCAGGACAGAAAGGTTGGCTTCAGGAAGGCTCAGAAGAACGAAAGTCACTGTATTACATCATCACTGAAGAGTAAAGGACAAACAACATCCCTTGGAAGTGTTGGACATGGTTGTAGTATTCTCTCAGGATATTTAAAGACCACACTAAACTCACCTGAGCCTGCTGTGTCTGTGTCTGTGCAGAGTCCTGTTCCTCCAGATCAGGGACTGAGTCATCGCTGTCAGACTCGGTACCGGATCCTACAGGAACCACCAACAACAAAACAATTGTAAGTCACAACAAACAAACCATTACATATGTTTACTAGCAAGAAAATATGCTGCATCAATCCTGGAGAAGGGAAATGGGCATGTTAAAAATTGTTCAAAATACACTATAAATATGTTTATTTCGTACCCCAGAGAAACTCACACCTACCTAGTAATGTGGACCATTTTCAATAAAAATTGAACTCAAATAACCAATAAATATGCAAAAGGGTCACCGTGATCACAGCAAATAAACAAATGTGTACTCTGTTTAAAACAATACCATCTCCACAAACTAAATATAAACTATTAGACCACACCATTTAACTACACAACATTGTTGAAAGTATGCAAGAGAAATAACTGTTTTCCAATAAAATGATCCATGTAGGAAGCTTTTTAAATGAACTCATTAAAATCGAAAGCAAAGCTAACATTTACTTCACAACCTTGTCTTTAGTAGAATGACCTAAGCATCAGTACAGTTCTCAAAACAGTGACAGCAGGCATAAAAAGAGAGAGAAGAAAATACCCTTGTTGTTCTTGATCACAGGTTCCCCTTGACTGGGGTTTTAGCAGTTTTGGGTGGCGAGATGGGCTCAGAAGGTTTGACTAGCTCAACCACAGGTTTAACAGGGGCAGGTTTTGCAAGTGCCTCAGCAAATGAAAGTTTATGAGGAGCTGGGGAAGGAACAGCTGGCTGAACTGGAGCAGGTTTTAAGGGAGCAGGTGAGGCATCAGCTTGTGGTGTGGAAGGCTTGGAAACCTCAGCAGGCACCGCCTTTAACCTCAACCATTGCTGGCTTTTTACACATAACAGGAGCAGGTTTAAGCTCAATCTCAACGGGAGCAGGTTTTGGCACCTCAATGGGTGCAGGTTTAAGCTCAGCTGCTGGCTTAACCTCAATGGGAGCAGGTTTAAGCTCAGCTGCTGGCTTAACCTCAACGGGAGCAGGTTTGGGGGGCAACGTCAACCTTAAAATGAGCAGCATGGTGTGGGCACGTACAATCTCAACATGAGCAGGTTGGGCACGTCAACCCTCAAACATGAGCAGGTTTGGGCAAACGTCAACCTCAACAGAGCAGGTTTGGGAACGTCAACCTAAAAATGAGCAGGATTTGGGAAACGTCAACCTTAAATGAAGGTCAGGTTTGGGCAACGTCAACCTTAAAAAAATGAGCAGGTTTGGGCACGTCAACTATTAAAATGAGCAAGGTTTGGGCCACGTCAACCTTCAACATGAGCAGGTTTTGGGCAACGTCAACGCGCTAACAATGAGCAGTTTGGGCAACGTTCAACCGCAACATGAGCATGGTTTTGGGCACGTCAACCTCAACCAGATGAGCAGGTTTGTGGGCACGTCAACCTTAACATGAGCAGTTTTGGGCACAGTCAAAACCTTAACATGAAGCAGGTTTGGGGCACAGTCAACCTCACATCATGGAGCAGGTTTGGGCACGTCAACATGAGCAGGTTTGGGCACGTCAACATGAGCAGGTTTGGGCACGTCAACATGAGCAGTTTGGGCACGTCAACATGAGCAGGTTTGGGCACGTCAACCTCAACATGAGCAGGTCTGGGCACGTCAACCTCAATATGAGCAGGTTGGGCACGTCAACCTCAACATGAGCAGGTTTGGGCACGTCAACCTCAACATGAGCAGGTTTGGGCTCAGCTGCTGGCTTAACCTCAACATGAGCAGGTTTGGGCACGTCAACCTTAACATGAGCAGGTTTGAGCACGTCAACCTCAACATGAGCAGGTTTGGGCTCAGCTGCTGGCTTAACCTCAATGGAAGCAGGTTTAGGCATGTCAACCTTAACATGAGCAGGTTTGAGCACGTCAACCTCAACATGAGCAGGTTTGGGCACGTCAACCTCAACATGAGCAGGTTTGGGCACCGTCAACCTCAACATGAGCAAGGTTTGGGCTCAGCTGCTGGGCTAACCTCAATGGGAGCAGGTTTAGGCATGTCAACCTCAACGGGAAGCCTCTACTGGAGCAGGTGTGGGTTCAGCAGTTGGCTTAACCTCACAGGAGCAGGTTTGCTTGGAGATACCTCTTTAGCAACCTCAACAATTTTTCACTGGGCTGTTTATAGCACCAGTCCATTGGCTTCACAGGTGGAATAAGTGGGCGGAAGATCATCAGTTGATCAAAATCAGGGACAGGGCTTGGTAAAGCTTTCTTAACCTCAACGGCACGGCTGGCAGGAGGGCTAGAGGCAAGAGCTTCTTGAAAATGAAACTGGGGGGTGCCACAGCAGGCTTTGAGGTAACTTTGAAAGCAGCTGGGCATACAACAGGCTTTGCAGCAAGCTGCTGGGGCAGGTTCAACTATAATTTGCTTGGGGGCTAGCCTCTACTGTTTTTTCAAGAACTGTGGTGACTTTGCACTCTACAGGGGGCCGGAGTAGGCACAAATGCCTCTCCCTTCATAGCTCTTCCTTGTTTGCCAGCCTTGACAACTTTTGGGGTAAAGCGGTTAGCCTTATTAGCAGAGGAGCCCCCAGGAGAGCCAGCTAGGGGCTGATGGCACGGGCGACAGGGGAGTAGTGGAGGAAGTAGATTTTGGTGAGGTGGGAGAGGAGGAAGAGGCAGACAGAGAGGAGCGTTTTCTTCTACCAGGGACAGCCTTTGGGGCAGACGAACCCTGCGGATTCTTGGCATCTTTGCCTTTGGGCTTTACATGGCCAGTAGCAGCCTGAGGTTTCAGGGTCGCAGCTTGGGCAGGAGGTGTAGCTGAATAGAAAAAGTAATTATTTAAAAAATATTGCTGGTAAAAAAGTCTTGCTCATGCGGATTAACTCATCAAACCAAAACGCAATCTCCTTGCTTAGGGTTAGGAAAGGGACACGCCTGCCTAACAGACTGATGCAAAACCACAACTCAAAATGCACCGTACTTAGTACCTACACAGGAGAAGCACATTATATATTTAGTCAGGATGCAAAAAGGGAAAACCATACTTTCAATGCATATCACACTGCCACATCACAATAGCACTTACTCAGAAATGCATAAACGCACCAAAGAATGGACCAATGAACAAGTTCCTTTAAGATAGGACTGACCGACACCTGGCCTAATTGTAAGATTTTAATTTTAAACAATTGAACTTAAGTAGATTTTATAATTTCCTCTCCAACCTATTTAACAAAACCGTATAAGAAGAGTGAAATAAAAACTACCCGCATTAGCAACAATTTCAGATGAGGCGAAAAAAGATGCAACTTTAAATAAACAAGGACCCAGAGAAAATCCACTGTAAAAGATGGACGCAGGAGCATTATACCTTTGTACCTGCCACATTCATGTTACCATCTGTGAAAGAATAAGCCCACCCTGATCAGAAAGATTAATTAAAAAAAAAAAAAAATACAAAAAGAGGGGAGGGCCTGTTTTTTTTAGGATAAACCAACCTGAATGGTGGCGAGTGGAAAAGAGATGGGATGTGGTCACATTTGGAGGGCTGATTTGACTGAATGGCCTTGGTGAGAAGAGTAATAGCATCTTGCTTGTCCAGATCTTCATTTACGGTAGGGCGGGGGGTCGACAGTCCACTTCAGCAGGCAATACTTCATCTTTCAGCTGCGTCCAGGCAAAGATTCCTCAAGTTTTTAACCTCAGTCTGTAGAGCATCTTCACTGCTGGCACCGACATCTTCAGTAACAGATGGTTTCGGTACATCAGGAATTTCTTGTGCCGCTGCACTGGGGCTCCTCTTCAGTGTCTTTGCTTCAGTAGTAGATGGTTTCTGTACATCAGGAATTTCTTGTGGCCCTGCACTGGGCTCCTCTTCAGTGGTCTTTGCTTCAACAGAAATCTTTTCAACCTCCTCGATGGCAGTTTCTTCAGTAGCAACAGCAGACTCTTGACTTTGTACCTCTTTAGCTGGAACTGCTTGTTCAAGAGCTGGTGGCTCTTCTGCGGAAACAATGGGCTCTTCGACAGCAGGCAAAGATTCTTCTGGAACTGGCATGTCAGCTGAAGCCCCTGCTGGTCCAGCAGTCACCTCTTCCTGTGTGACAGGTGTGGCCACCAACCCAGTCTCTTCAGTTTGCTCAGTGATGTCTTGAGTCACAGCTACACCATTTGCTTTATCATCATTGGTCTGAATGCTAGCTTCTTCTTTGGAGGCTATCGCTTGAGCAGGATCAGAAGTTTCTGTAGGATTCTCCAGTGGGATTGTTTTGCTCACAGGAATGGCCCATCTCAGGGGGAAGCAGAGAAATCCAATGCTCCTTCAGCTGATTAAGGAGTATCAACAGGAGTAACAGGGGGAGGGGCAATCACAGTCATTGTTTGGTGAGTAATTTAACGTCAACGCAAATTTTGAGAGCTTCAAGAATACACCGTGAAGTGAAAAAAGAAATTGTGCTCCAAACTAGGGCTGAACGATTCGGGAAAATTAGCGGATTTCGTTTTAAAACTAATGTTTCGATCATCACAGCAGGAAATTACTGTAAGCCATGGTAACAAGTAATCTTATCATGAACTACTTTAAAAATCTGGCAGAATAATCAATAAGTCAAAGTCTTATTATTAACATGTAAAACTGTTTGATTAGTTTCCACATCCAGTTCGGAGGTGCAGCGTTTCTATCAAATAAAAGGACGTTTTCAAATTTGCGTTTGATTACTTTGCGACGCCGGTTGAAATTCGGTTTTATCGTTCAGCCCTATCCCAAACGTGAAACAGAACGACGAGTTTTTAAGAAGTTAATCTACGTGTTATTGGCACTTGGTATGCCAAAGTATAACAAAGAAAGGGGTGTTAGGTGTGCAGTAAGTAAAAGACAAAAAATAGGCCCAGGTCCAAACTCCATGCAAGTGTGCATTTGTGAGATAAACAGCGGATCTTTGCACAAATATGCATGAAAACAAGTGATTAATCCATTTACTAACATAAATGCTTGAATTAGACAGCTCACCATGTGTGATTTATTTACTGATGAAAGGCTTTGTGGAGGTGTTACTTAAAGTCTAGAAATCACTTTGCAAGCCAATGCACGCCCTTTTAATCCAAAAATGAGGGCATTTTGGTCAGCAGAAACAGGAGGACTATGTGTTATAATGTTACACACAATCCTTATAAAAGAATAACCCAAAACAACTGCGGGGGCCTTTCATTTAAGTGTCTAGTGCTGACCCACTTGGGGGTGAAGGTTACATCAGTATTAGCTCTTACCATTGAGGCAAACACAAGTATTGAAATATGGCGCCATTGCTTTCAAACGTCACCTGAATTGCTCTTTAGTGTTGTTGGTCATCTTTACCAAAAAAAGTGCACAATTAAACTACATTAGCACAAACATGTAATAAAACAAAAAAAGTGAAATGTGCATTTAAGAATTATCAGCATTTTCTTGCTCCTGCCTGATATAAAACTAACTCAAAACACAATCCACAATAAGAGTCTTCTCTAATATGGATACAGACAAATCTATACATTTTATTAACCAGTAATTGCCCCATTTTTGGTCAAAAGAAAAGCGTTGCCAACTGCTGACTTTCAAAAGAGTGTCCATATTACCATGAAAAAAAAATACAATTTGTTCAAAAAATGAGCGGCTGGAAAACGTAAAATAATTAATCCTAGATTATTTCTCGGTCTGTCAAAAAAACTAAAAAAATACAAATCCCAGATAAACACAAAGTGGTTTTTAAGGCATTTATCGTGCAAAGGGAAAAACCACACTAAACACCATGCATTGTGTGCTAAATCCAGTTTGTAAGTGCAAGTCACCGCACACCATTGTGAGTCTGTAAATAAAGAGGGGTCCTGGATTACCATTTTCAAGGCAAGCTGAGCAATATCACCACTGCAGATTCCTCAATGGGCAATCCTCCCTTACAAATGTCCCACCAAATGGCTGGTGATGGTCAAAATAACCATCACCTGTTACATCAACTCAGCGTCCAGCCAGCTGAGTCAACTCACCAAATTATCCTAAAAATGCAATATTGCTCTTTTACTCAACAAATTGCCTTCCGTAGAGGGCCATTTGTTGAGCAATTTGACCCTTTCAGGACACCCAGGATCCCGTTGTTTAATATGCATTATGGCATGCCTGTTAAGTTAAAATATACGAACCGGTCTCTACTTGAGGCTGCTGCATCTCCTGCTCGGTGACTGGGACCGTTTCTGTTGCCTTCACCAGGCATGGTTGCTGTAAAAATTAAAATACATTTTGATTAACTCAAAAGGGAACTCTTAATACATGCCAGTATTGGATCACTACTATTAGCAAGGATAGTAGTTTTAAATCAGCTATTCAGAGTCCTGCTGTACAACCAGTATTGTCAGCCTCTGTTAAGTTATAGTTAAATATGGAAAGCTATGGTGTATGAAGATAATGATGTTTATATTATGTTGGCAAAATTGTTAACTGCATCTCATCAGACTTGTATAATGTTGTTAACAGAGAATACCAGCTGCTGCCCTCTACTAGGTTTATTTACAGCCCCTCCAGTTAAACCCAGAGATATTAATTGAATGGTTATGAGCTTTGTGTGTTTTGTACGTCTATGAAAAGATGTCTAACCTGTGATCAACCTATGTGTCTAAAGAAATACATTGAGGTAACATGGACACAAAGTTGGAGCGTAATTTAGCCATTTAGAGAGTGACTTGCAGCTGAACAGGTGAACCGAGCCCATGCTTTAGCTTCGTCTGTACTCTTGTTGAAGCAACATTAGCTAACGTTAGCTTTGGTTAGCTGAGAGCTGGTGGCAGCCTCAACAGGAGAAAATATTACGGCGAGTAAACAAAGACATACCATTTCCTTTTAAACCCACATCTGAAGGTGACACAAATAACTTAACAGCACCAGACAATCTGCTCACTGCGGGCCCTGACAGGCTGCTGGTAAACTGGAAGTCATAATCTCCCCCCCATTTTGGAGCCTCTGATAGGCGTCACAACGGCTCATTTATCGCTTTAGAGAGGGACGAAAAAAGCAAATATCTACCTCAGCCTGATTACTGCTACTTTACTTTAACGCATAATACCAATAATACAGACGATGATATGTTGAAAAAACTGCTGGATGATGTTGGATTATGAACGGAGACACTCACCGATTCGGGATGCTATATCCAAGATGGCTGTGAGAGAGAACTTCTGACCTCAGCTTCGCAGTAATATCCGGTACAGAGCTGGGTGTTCTACTTCCGGGGCACTTTAAGGCCACAGGAAATCATTTTGTTTTGACTGTAGAAAAGATAATACCGTAATTTCGACATCATAGTAAATCATTAACATCATTGAGAACCTGGACTTCTACAAAAAATATACATTATAAATCCTACCCACATGTAAAATAAAAATGTGATTGAAAAATACTGTAAACCACTAGATACTCTCAAATATCGTCTGAGAAAGTTTCTCAATATTTTGAGAAACTAACTCATATTTTGAGAACGTTTCTTATTATCTTGCGATAGTACCTCATAATATTTTGAGGTTTGTCATTATTTAGAGAATGTACAATAGGCTACTTGTACTTTTGGTTATTTGTAAAACAGTGTTATTAGGTTATCATTACTCCATTACATATCAGATGGAAATAATTTTCAACTCCAACTACATTTATCTGTTACAGCAGTATTTTACTTTACAGATAAGACTTTACAAACAACGATTTGTTTGTTATTTGTCGATTATAAACAAAAAACCCATAAGTATACAAAGTTAAAACTGACTCTACTATCCCAGTAAAATACTGCTTATAAACCTGTTGTAAAATAATCAAATGATATGAATGATTGCTTAATTATTTGTGTTATCTTTGCCAATAGTATCTCTGATATTTCAGTACTACATAGAAACGTTTCTGTGTGATTTATGTATTCTGTTATACTATGATCTGATAATCCAGGATGCTTTAGTTGATTTTTTAAAAATAATGGGTTTATTGTATTCTGGTCCCGGCTTGCTTGAATTTATGGTATCTGGTTAACTCATGCAGACTGGGCATAATTATAGAATATAATAGTTTAATGTCATTATACATGTACAATGAGAGAAATAAATGCTTCTCCCTTTCAAGGGTGCCAAAACAAAAAACATCACAACATAAGACAAACAAATACACGCAGCATACATACTTAGGAATAAGGAATAAGTGCAGTAATTATTTCCAGGAGTATAAAAATAAAATGTATAATATAATAAATAATAATCGTAGGTATGTATTTATAATAATAATGATATATATGTATTGTACAGAGTCACATTTATTTCACATGCAGGAATGATTAAGAGGTAATGACTTTCAGGGTGTTAAGAGCAATGATGGCTCTTTTGAAAAAACTGTCTTTGAGTCTGTTTGTTTTGGATTTGATACACCTGTAGCTCCTGCCGGAGGGCAGCAGGTTGAACAGGTGAAAGCCGGGGTGTGAACTGCCCTTAACAATGTTTTCGGCTCTTCTGAGGCAGTGGGAGGTGTAAATGGTCCATCAGGGAGGGGAGAGGGCAGCCGATTATCCTCTGTGCTGCTTTTACGACTCTCTGAAGCCTCATCCTGTCTGCCTCAGTGCAGCTGGCGTACCACTCTGTGATGCAGTATGTTAATAGGCTCTCGATGGTAAGAGCGGTAGAAGGTCACTAGCAGCTTAGTGGCCAAGTTGTTTTCCTGAGTGCCCTCAGGAAGTGCAGATGCTGCTGGGCCTTCTTGATGACAGCTTGTGGTGTTGTCCTTCCAGGAAAGGTTGTTGGTGATGAGGACGCAGAGGAACTTGAAGGTGTATACCCTCTCCACACACTCACCGTTAATGTCGAGGGGAGCGAGGGTCGGTAGTATTCCTGCTGAAGTCTACGATGATCTCTTTGGTTTTTGTGGGGGTTCAGTCAGTGCCAGGTTGTTCACTGAACACCACGCTGAGAGCTTCAGTACCTCACTCCTGTAGGCTGACTCGTCTCCTCCTGAGATAAGCCCCACAGGTGGGTATCTTGATGATACTATGATTACAAAAAAAATTCATTCATGTGTGTATAGAATTATTCTTAGTAAATATTTAAGGCTGACTTCATCTCTGGCTACGCCTCCCTGCAGTCTCTGGATTTCCTTGCTCTCACTGAGACCTGGATTACTCCATCCAACACATCCACCCCAGCAGCTCTCTCCACAGCATATTCCTTCTCCCATACACCCAGACCAACTGGCAGAGGAGGTGGCACTGGTCTCTTGCTCTCTCCCAAATGGAGCTTTTCCCTCTTCAAGCTACCTAACTTCACTCCTTCCACCTTTGAATTCCATGCCGTCACAGTAACCCATCCTATACAGCTAACCATTGTTGTTCTCTACCGTCCACCAGGCGCCTTGGGGGACTTCTTGGAGGAATTAGATAATCTCCTCTCACACATCCCTGAAACTGGCCCTCCCGCTGTACTTCTCGGAGACTTCAACCTCCAGACGGGGAAGATAGACGAACTAACATCTTTGTTAACCGCCTTTGCTTTCTCACTGTCTCCGTCCCCACCGACTCATAAAGCTGGCAATGTCCTTGATCTCATATTCTCAAGGAACTGCGCTACTTCTAACCTCTCTGTAAACCCGCTCCACACATCCGATCACTTCTTCATTTTATTTTCTCTATCCCTTTCCAAACATAACAAACTAATCTCTTCTCATCCTGCACTTGTCCGCCGTAACCTTCGCTCCCTCTCCCCCTCTACCTTTGCCTCGTCGGTGCTCTCAGCCCTCCCTTCCTCTGACTCGTTCCAACTCCTGCCTCCAAACTCTGCTGCAGAAACTCTCCTCTCTACTCTCTCATCCACTCTGGACTCGCTCTGTCCTCTCACATCTCGGCAGGCTCGTCAGTCCTCTCCTGCTCCCTGGCTAAATGATGCACTGCGTGCTAATAGAACCGTCCTTAGGGCAGCAGAGCGGAAATGGTGGAAATCCAAACACCGTGACGACCTCCTAACCTATCAGGCTCTCCTCTCCTCTTTCTCTGCTTCGATCTCTCAGGCAAAAAGCACTTTCTTTCAAGATAAGATCCAATCTTCCTATTCCAATCCCAAAAAACTATTTTCCATCTTCTCCACCCTCTTGGACCCTCCAAAAGCTCCTCCCCCCCCTCCTCACTTCTGTCAAGCGACTTTGTTACCCACTTTGAAAAAAAGGTTGATGATATTCGCTCTTCTTTTTCTGACCTCACCTTTACTCACCGCTGGGGTCACCAGACCCTCCTTCCACCAACACACTTACCTCCTTTTCCCCTCTCTCTCCAAGTGAGGTTCTTACCCTCATTACCTCTGCCCGCCCTACCACCTGTCCCTCTGGACCCTATCCCTTCAAACCTCCTTCAGACTATCGCTCCTGATATTCTACCGTTTCTCACCCATTTCATCAACACTTCTCTAACTTCTGGTCACTTTCCAAACAGTCTCAAGGAGACAAGAGTAAACCCTCTCCTAAAGAAACCCACTCTCAACCCGTCTGATGTTATAAACTACAGGCCTGTCTCTCTCACTCCCGTTCCTGTCTAAATCACTTGAACGCGCTGTCTTTAAAACAACTCTCCTGTTATCTCAATCAGAAACAACCTTCTGGATCCGCACCAGTCTGGTTTCAAGGCAGGTCACTCCACAGAAACTGCTCTCAATTGCTGTCACGGAGGAACTGCACACTGCCAAAACTGCATCCCTCTCCTCTGTCATCATCCTGTTGGACCTGTCTGCTGCATTCGACACGGTGAATCATCAGATCCTCCTTCGCACTCTCCAAAAACTTGGAGTTTCAGGCTCTGCACTTTCCCATCCTCACCTCATACCTGAAAGACCGTACCTACAGGGTGACTTGGAGAGGGGTCTGAGTCCGACCCTTGTCAATTAACTACGGGGGTCCCTCAGGGCTCTGTTCTTGGTCCCCTCCTCTTCTCCCCGTACACAAACTCGCTCGGATCAGTCATTAGCCCGCATGGTTTTTCTTACCACTGCTACGCTGATGACACCCAATTAATTCTGTCCTTCCCCCGCTCAGAGACCCAGGTTGTCGCACGCATCTCTGCTTGTCTAGCTGACATCTCTCAGTGGATGTCTGCTCATCACCTCAAACTCAACCTTGACAAGACTGAGCTGCTCTTCCTTCCGGGAAAAGATTGTCCCACTCTTGACCTAACAATCAACATCGGCACCTCAGTTGTTTCCCCGACTCAGACTGCAAGGAATCTGGGTGTGACCCTAGATAACAACCTGTCCTTCACTGCAAACATCGCTGCTACAACCCGTTGCTGCAGATACACGCTTTACAACATCAGGAAGATACGTCCCCAGCTGACACAGAAAGCGACGCAGGTTCTGGTCCAGGCTCTCGTCATCTCACGCCTAGACTACTGCAACTCCCTCCTGGCTGGTCTACCTGCATGTGCCATCCGACCTCTGCAGCTCATCCAGAATGCAGCGGCTCGTCTGGTCTTCAACCTTCCTAAATTTTCCCACACTACTACTCCGCTCCTACGCTCGCTTCACTGGCTTCCGGTAACTGCTAGAATCCACTTCAAGACACTGGTACTTGCTTACCATGCTGCGAATGGATCTGGCCCTTCGTACATCCAGGACATGGTTAAACCGTACACCCCAGCGCGTGCACTACGCTCTGCATCAGCCAAACGACTCGCTGCGCCCCTCGCTGCGAGGGGGACCCAAGTTCCCAACGGCGAAAACACGTGGGTTTGCTGTCCTGGCTCCAGGATGGTGGAATGAGCTCCCCATTGACATCAGGACGGCAGATAGCTTGCACATCTTCCGGCGCAAACTGAAAACTCATCTCTTTCGACTCCACTTCGAGCGATAGAACTATTAACAAAGCACTTTTATACTAATAAAGGACTGGCTTATCTAAAGCCAGTTGAGTAGCACTTGAAATGTTTTTGCTCTATGAAACCTGATGTACTTATATGATTCTGTTTTCTTCAAGTTGTATTTTGTTGGATGAACGCACTTATTGTAAGTCGCTTTGGATAAAAGCGTCAGCTAAATGCAATGTAATATTTTTGATTGTAATATTTCTGTGGTTTTTAAACTTCTGAATGCAAGACCTATCATATTGTTAATTCTTTATTCTGTACTTACAGATATCACTGATATAAACAAAGACAACATCTAAAATCAACATAAACTTTACAGAACGGTTGGATAGTTTAATCTATAACAATAAATACAAATATGTATAGGTGAAAATTGTTGGCAAAAATATTGCAAACCGTTCTCATTTAAAGTAAGGGTTAAGTAAAATACAAGATTTTGAAAAAGTTGAAATACCAAATTTATTTTCACAATGACTGTACAGTAGAGGAATATAGAAAAAAGCAGACAAACAGCATAGCATTGGTAATGTAGTAGAAAAAACCTGCAGTAAGGAGATATTCTTATGTGGAGGAAATGATTGTACATCAAAAAATAGAAACTTCCCACCCCAACACAGGACCGTTTGTATCGTCATCCATATTAGTGATCGGGAAATATTAACAATGTTTTGTCTGTATCACTTTCTGATCGTTGATCCAGTTCAGAAGTCTTTCTGAAGATCTAAAAGAACAGAAGAAGAAAATAATTACATGAAAGAACACACTTCATATAGAGACGTTTATTTAATCTAGGAAAAAAAACAAAACGTACCACTCTTTTTAAGAAGTTCTCCTTTCCATGAGCGAGACATCACATCCAGAAACTGGTCAAAGCATTTCACATATTTCGCCAGGCTTGTTCTCTTGTAATCTGTCAAGAAAATAAATCCGTGAGCTGCTAGGTTTTCAAAAAGAGCTTTGAATGTCTCTTATTATACCTTATGACATTTCAGGGACATTTTTTTTAAAATCAACTTTCTTAAATGAAAAGTGCGAGTGCTGGGAGAGCAAACTGTTTCTGATTACAGGGCAAATGTGTTTCTTTCTGTTTGTATTTTAATTAGTTTTCACTTTACAATGATCTGTAGTTATTTCACAAGTTGAAAACAATGATTTGCAGCCACCACTGGTTTCTAATTCTAGAAAAGTATTATACTAATAATATTTGTGTGGCCTAATATTTATCTGCATCTGTGCGGGAATAACACATTTGAACTAGGGCTGTCAGTCGATTAAAATATTTAATCGCATGATTGTCCATAGTTAATCGCGATTAATCGCACATTTTTGATCTGTTCTAAATGTACCTTAGAGGAATATTTTTCAAGTTTTTAATACTCTTAACATATGAGTGGACAAATATGCTTTATGCAAATGTTTATTATCATTTGAACAATGACAAATATCCTCATGAATATTAAACACAACAACCTCTGAACATTACAAATATTCGCCTCAATTCAACCTGGAACCTCTCTCATACAATAATACAATACAAAGTGTGTGTGTGTGTGTGTGTGTGTGTGTGTGTGTGTGTGTGTGTGTGTGTGTGCGTGCGTGCGATGGAGGCATATGCTCGAACGGGAGCTGCCTGGACGCTGCAATCATGTTGCGCACATTGACTTTTCGTACAATGTCCCACTGTCTGGCTTCCTGCATAAAGTCAAGTGCTCGGCACAGTTGTCGGCGAAATGTCGCTCCTCTGTTTTCATTGAAACAGCTCCTTATATCCGTTAGCGCAGCTAGCTAGCACCAGATGCTAACAACAACAATACACGTAAGGTCTCTCTCGCGCCACACATACACACACCCTCCCGGTCCTCCCAATAGCCAGTCGGTGCCTGCCGGTGAGCGTGGAAGTGTGGTCTGCCACAAGCGGGCTGTCAGCATCAGCTTGTAGATGGTATTTTAAACTCGATGCGCTCTGAAACTACGGGGCGGCCGAGGACAAAAAATACACATGCGTTAATCGCGTTAAAATAATTAGTGGCGTTAATTTTTTTTGCGTTAACGCATTAACTTGACAGCCCTAATTTGAACATAACTAATAGATATGTAAACATTTAAAAAAGCATTTAAATGTTGATTTTAAACATTATATATATTAAAGGTGGGGTAGGTAAGTTTGAGAAACCGGCTCGAGATACACTTTTTGTTATATTCCATGGAATGCTCTTAACATCCCGATAGCAATGAATATCTTAAGTGCTTTGAAAAAAAAAAAATGTCATCTGTGGAAGGCGTAGTGCTGTAAAAAGCACGACCAATCATTTTAGCCGGCCCGGCTAAAGTAACTGGATGGCCTAACTGCCTGTCAGCCTTCCATCAGTGCACAAACTTATCTCGTGCCCTCATTGGTCATGTGCGCGTTCGTGTGTGTTGGAGGAGGGGCTCTGTAAGGAAGTGGCAGATTTGTTCCGGCTGTGTATTTTCCAATTCTAGCGCACTCGAGCTGCTTTCTCAAACTTACCTACCCCACCTTTAAGCTGCGTTCTATTTGGTACAGTCCTAATGATAATCATTATAAAAAGCAGGTCATGGTTGATTTGACCCTTTAGCCTTATTTTGAACCAGGAAAAGCGAGCAAAATTACCTTGTGTTAGCCTGTAACTTAAAAAAGGGATGGTCATTTGTGAAATTTACGATGAGCTATTTGAGAATCTCACCTCTGATCTTTCGACTCTCTGCTGCGTCCTTCTCGTTTTCCTTGTCATTTGTCTCCTCTGACTTCTCCTCCTCTTCGACTGTCCTGGGACGATCCAGCTCCTCACAGATCATACTAAATAAAATTTTTTTTAAAAATGATGATATAAGCTCTGACGATTTTCAATCACTGCAACAACAAAGCATGGGACAGTTCACTATCACTAACCTGATGGTGGGCACAGCAAAAGGATCAAAGGTTTCCAACTCTTTGAGGTCGATGGGAACAGAAATGCGGCCTGGCCAGAGTTCAAAAGGGAAAAATTACATTAAGACTGTCATTAATAAACACGCCATCTACATGAAATCACATTAGATCTACGCTTACCTGTTTTGGGATGGACACTGAAGGGGCTCTTCAGCAAATGGTTCACTCCTTTACTGACGTTCACATCGAGCCGGGGGTAACAATACTGCAGCATGATCTCTTTCTCAAAGTGTTGGCCCTTTTTGGAAGTGCCCTTTAGAAAGAAAGATTACATTCTTTTACAACAACCTCTATGGTGGTCATATTTGAAAAAACGAATCAAAGTCACGTTGTAATATGAAGAGACTGTATGTAATAAAAACTTAGGATAAGAAATATAATGTGGTCATTTATTTCCCCACCTTAATGACTCTAGGGTTTATCAAACATAAAATAAGCTACTCCATTTGTATAGTCTTGTCCTTGTAGAACACTGATCAAAACATTTTAAATCATTGTGCTTTCGTGTGTAATTCATTCTAAGAAATGTGTCGTCTTCAATATGGCCCCCGAGTCCCTTTTAGATTGATAGATTATGAGTTTAATGACTAGTGAGCAGTATTACCTGTTTCCGTTTGGCTTGGTCCTTCAACAGATTCCAACGGTTCTCCGGTTTCTTCTCGTTCTGAAAGTCCTGCTGTAACTGTTTTCTTACATGTAAATGCTTGAATTAAGGTCAGGTAAAGTTATGTTCATAGTGTGTTGAACAAGGAGAGATCATACTCTCATGTTTGAATCACATTCGATTTGAGAGAAATAAAATGTGGTGTTTTCCATCAGCTATTGGCTCTACTGCATGTTCTGAAAAGGATATCTTCAGGTGTGAGTGCCAGCACTTTGTCCACAGATTCCCTTACGACCCAGTATGTCCTGGTCCTGTAGTGCGTACAGGGGGAAGTATCGCTCCACCAACACCAAAGACTCTCTGCGGAAGTCACAGGTAGAGACTTTCAAACAGCTTAAGCAACAACATCAGTCAGAGGCAACCTCAATAACAGTCGGTGTAATTATACACAAAAAACTCAACAGAAAAACTGTTACAGCCTCAAATTCACTTTACTGACAAAAGGATTGGCTTCTTACCTGATAAAGGGATGAATTGGATCTGAGAGCACTACTTTCTTCATCGTCTCATCACCTCCCTATAAAGACAGCAGTGAATAGAGCACACAATCTTGTGTTATTGACCCCCATGCCGATGCAAATATTTCAGAGATATGATGGCCTGAAAGAGACAGACAGATACACTAAACCCAACACCCTGCTGCTCATAAATAAATATGTCTTATTTATCTTATTAAAAGCCTAAAAATACTGTTACCTTAACCAGGCTGAGGTATTCAGCCACTGCGGAGCGTGCTGCTACCGAGAGCTTCCTGGCCGCTTCATCACACACCCAGCAATGCACTCCTCTTCTGCCAGAATAAACCCACAGCAGGTGCTGGAAACCAAAGTCATCTAGAAGATCACATACATCAAAAAGTGTTAGACACCTGTTCTGCAGAAAATAGAAAATTACACAAGACAAAATGAATGACAAACAAACCTCGAAGAGCTCTATCCAGGACGCGAATGGCGATGGTCATCAGGGTCCAACACTTGGGGCAAATCTCTGCAGCACTAAAAGGATAGTTTGCGTTATCTCAGTTAGGGCTGTGCAATTAATCATATTTTAAATCGCAATTACGATCTTGGCCTGCCACAATTACGAAAACAACATAATGGAAAAAACGATTATTTTGCTTTGCTAGGTTGTGACAGTGCACTGCAACATATTTGATCTAATTTATTTGTATTTATCATATTAATATATGTTTAGTTGTAGAAGTGCGCTCCAAAATATTTGTTGATCTTGTTTATTGGTATTTATTATTTTGATATTATTTATTTAAATGTATCATTTATTTTAGTATTGGTTTTTCTGTTGAATTATACGTTCAGGGTAATCAACAGTTAAAAACATACTGTTCAAATTATTATTTGTATTTGTTTTAAAGTTCAATAAATGATTGTTTTCAAAGTCAATGAATAATCGTATTTAATCATGATATCAATTATTGACCAAAATAATTGTGATTATGATTTTTGCCATAATCGAGCAGCCCTAATCTCAGTTATGTAACAGTCAACATTTAATAATTTTAACAAATTAACCACAAAATCAATTTACCTGCAACAGCTTCTGACATCATCATAATCAGTCATATCGATATCAAACACCAGCTCCTTCTCCAGGGCCTGGAAGGTTCCTGACTTCACTGTGTTGTGCTGATTGGGCTGTGGGTGAAACATAAATCAACTTTATCCATAACATATCTGCAGGGGCACAAAAAACTAAGAATGCAAAAGAAGATGCATGCATTCTCACCCTGTGACTGTATATGGCCCCAATGTCGATCTTGTAAGGGTTAATCTTCTGCATCTCCTTCTCCAGCTCGTTCTGCGTGGTGAAGGACTGGTAGCGGACGTAGATGTCATCTTTGAGCGTGAAGGAGAACTCTCGATTCTGAAAGTAGTTCTTCTGCACTGAAGTTGTAGAAGAAAAAATATATATTAGTCCTCTATAGTCAGTGGTTCCCAACCTTTTTTGTCAGACATACGTGGGTCAGGTGAACTCATGTGTCAAACTACCTGGGAGATTCCAAATATGTTCATTTAAAATCAACTTAAAACCAGGTTTAATTTAACTATAAAAGATAGAAAGTGGAAATACAGTAACAGTGTTTACCATGTAACAAAAACACTCATACAACTATAATTTATTTGTACTTTGGAAAAGCACATGCTGGTAGTGTAATACCTGTTTATCCATTACTTTTAGGTATTATTTTTGAACCATTTATCCTATATTTCCTTTAGCTAACTAATTCAATTGTTTGGACACTTGGAAACATTTTGTATTATGTGACACTTTCAGTCACATATTGTTCAGTTGTTATAGTAGCTGATTTATGTACTTTTTCAGATGAGATGAGCTACTACACTGTTTTTGTATGTACTCATAGAAAACTGCAGAAGCACACATTTGAGTACGCCATGTTGGGAATCATTGCCTCTTTTTCACATTTCAATTGCAACTGTTCTGATCTATAATTATCTTCTTGACTTTGCCTATATTTGTATTTCCTCGTACTGTGTTTATTGTAGCAAAAACATTTGTAGTTATTCAAATACTACTTTGCAATAAATATTATTCTCATTGTTGGGTTTTTTGCTCCTTGACTTTGCAATAGGAGAGAATAAGCACACCATGCTGAACAAACAATATGCTTCATAATGTCATCAAAACCTGCCGTGAGCTCTCTAATTTAGCAAATAACAAAACATAAGTTAACAACATAATGAATTCATCTTGCTAATGTTATTTATTGCTAGCTTTCAGCGGGCTGTCGAATGACGACACTCACCTCCTCCATAGTTCAGCCAGCGGTAATACTGTGAGAAGGGGAACAGCCGTCGGTAGTACAGCGGCAATATGTCCGGCAGACAGGCCGAGTCATAATCTGAGGCCGGCATTACCTGACAGTGCAGTAACAGAATCGTTACAGTTGTAAAAATATGTTAAATTGTCAAAAGAAGCTAGCTTGCGGCCACTACAGACTGACAGTTCGGTGTGTTGTTTTACACTGAGAGTAGCGCGGGAAAAGACTCAGGAAGGGAGAGAGCCAATGAGAAAATTATTACACAATGACGTCATCAAAAGCGGAAATAGTTGTAACATGTTTTTTTTTATTTGCAGCAGCAAATGCTACCAAGGGAATGTAATGTCAAATGGATATGAGTCAATTGTATCTAAATACTTGCCGTGCTATAAAAGATTATATCTGACTTTTTCAAAGCTTTATTTAACCTTGTGTCCTACAACGGAAGTGAAGGCGGAAGTGTCAACGTTCTGAGAGAGCATTATGGGATGGGCAGAGCCAGAGCCATATAATAGATATAATAATATTCTATTATATGGCTCTGGGGATGGGTAGGCATTTGACTCTACTGCAAGTCCTTTTTTTATTTTGTTTTGTTTTACCCATCAACCAATAAAAACGTAATTTCACTATTGGCTGAGTATTTGTGTATATATGTGTGTCACAAATAATATCCCTTGCAATGTAGTAATTTCTATACTACACCTCTAGAGGGCAGTACCGTTTAAGGACACATATTATAATACCCCATTCAAGGGATTGTGGGGGTCCTTTTCCTCATGGACTGAAACATTATCAGTTGCTCTTTGGACTGTGGGCTGTGCATTATATATGATTTACTATCTAATTGTATTCATTTCGTCTCATCTATAGCTTTACTCTGTTGTCATTAAACCTCTCTATAATTGCCATGCCTCTGGCTCTGTCATTTTGCCTTTATTGCACACAACATGGATATTTGATAGAATGTATATGGCAAGACCTTTTACACACACACACACACACACACACGCACACACACACGCACACACACACACACACACACACACACACACACACACGCACACACACACACACACACACACACACCACACACACACACACACACACACACACACACACACACACACACACACACACACACACACACTATGTACAGTGCAGCTGTCATTTAAACATGCCTCACTTACAACTTAACTTGCAGTATGTGAAATGTAACTATGAAAACTTTAAGAAACAAAATAAATGTATTAACTTTTGCACATCAATATTTTTTGAGCACACCTTTCCAACCACGACCCGTCCATTCCTCTGCACTCCATTGAATCTAGTTGTTTCAGAAAGGTTGACGTTGACAGTGAGTATTACCTTTCACCGTTGCAATTATCCAACTGTTATCATAATATGCTACGGTATGGGAAAAATGTGTGCAGTTGATTTATAGTAATGAACTTCTCTCTCTTTGCAGCATCACTGAACTGTGCCACATTCAGGAGCAATTTATAGACAAGCATACCAATACATTTCCACTTGATGATTGCACTTGTGTTTATGGTAATATTCTTTAATCATATCCTGATTTACATAATGAAAAAGCTCTCAACCGCATCTTACTTGAATTATGCTAATTATTTTTGCTGAAGGCCACAGGGGATATGGTTAGTCCTTTCTTAGGAATGATTTGAAATGGATTTGGGATTAACAATGTCTGTTTCTAATGACGCTACAGCTGTACAAGTGTGGTGCAAATATGCACATTACATAGCTGCTAACCTAAAGTACAAGTGGTCTCGCTCTAACTTTACTTCAGCTTTTCTGTGGCTGATCATGCAAGTAGGTATGTAAGCGGACATCTCATAATGAATTTATTGCAGTGGTGAAGGAATTGATCAGATTTTAAAGTATTTTGGAACACTGTTAAAAAAAAGTCGTGCATTTAAATGTTTTTTTGTAAAGTTTAAGTATAAACAACATTACATTGCATTTAGCTGACGCTTTTATCCAAAGCGACTTACAATAAGTGCATTCGACCAAGAAGATACAAACTTGAAGAAAACAGAATCATATAAGTACATCAGGTTTCATAGAGCCAAAACATTTCAAGTGCTACTCAACTGGCTTTAGATAAGCCAGTCCTTTATTATAAGTGCTTTGTTAGTAATTGTATTGCTCAAAGTGGAGTCGAAAGAGATACGTTTTCAATCTGCGCTGGAAGATGTGTAAGCTTTCTGCTGTCCTGAAAACATGTTCTTACATTTTTAAAAATAGTATATTATTTGCCGTATAATGGCAAATGGGATTTCTTATCATTTGATTGTTATTTCTGAATGAATGTAAAAGCATGTTTTTATTATTGATGTTCTTTGAGGTGGTGCTCATTTTTACTTTATTGATTATTATTTGTATTTGTTTTACTATTTTTGTTTGATTTATTAAACTGTAATGTATGACAATATTGATTATGGACTATCTGTTATATTCTCCATTAAAGAGATCTTAATCTTAGTTTGTATTTAAAGCTGATAAATACAGGTATTGGAGTTAAAAGAACAGTATTTCCCTCCCACAAAAACAGTACACAATAAATGTCAGTGGGTAGAGTTAGCTAAGGTGAAACTGATGGTGAAAATGTAATTTTCCACAGAGTCTATAATAAATCTAGGTCAGCCTGTCTTCAGGTTGTCATAAACCACATTGGGCAGAATGAATGGGTCATCTCACTGTACACGAGGAGTCAAAGTTTGGGGAGGAAAAGGTCAACACATCTTCAGATGACCAAAGTGTGCCACCATCTGTCTCCTTTCATCAAGAAAACAATGTGGACACATAGGTCAGGACAAATCCTCTCAACTACAGTCTGAAGTGGTCATGTGACCAATCATGGTGATCAACATTACTGATTTCTAAACAATACTAGTCCCATCGTCAGCAACAGCGCTATGGTATTGGTCTATATTTGATGGAAAGTTGGACAGTTTTCCAATGTTCTTGCTTTCCAAGAGAGAGATGGGAAGATTGATACCTTTTTATACCATTTATTATTGCTATTATTGAGTGCTATACTTCACTGGTTGTCAACTGGTTTTGCCTCTTTCTAAAATGTTTGCACTTTCTCTATGATTCTAATAATTATTACTAAACTCAAAATGAAGCCAAGACTGATAGGATTTTCACCGGTTTTAAAGATAGTTGGGCATGATTTAACATTTCACTCGATACATGAAAAGTGAAAAAGATTAACACGTTTTTACAAATCATCCTGAAGGACACATGAACACTCAAAGCAAATGTCATGTCACTGTCTGCATCCGACCCTTCTTTAGATGTTTCTCTCAAATCTATATATGTGAACATGAGTGCTAAAGAAAAAGTCAGAGTATCAACAAAGCCAGTAAGATCCAGTCACTGGGGAGTGGGGACTATGCATATCTTTATCTTTACACTGCAGAGCCACAGAAGATCCATAACTCTCTGCAAGGAAGTCAATATTTACCAAATGTGTAACTTTAAACGTCCCATGTCATGGCCATTTCTACTGATCATAATTCCATTGTTGAGGTCTACTAAAATACATTTACATTGTGCAATTTTCCAAACTCACATTGGTTTCTCATACAGCATCTCTGTATAGTATGTGTATTCACTCTCTGTCCTAAACGGCTTGTTGGAGCTCCTGCCCGCCCCTCCCTGTGAGCCCAGTGGCCGTCTGCGAGACAGCGAGACACAGCGAAACCCAGCCCGAAACCAGCCCGAACACACACACACACCCGCAGCCTGGCTGGGAGTTTGTGTGTGTGCTCCACGGATTGGTCCATTTGGACCAATGGGTCCATTTGGGTATGGGAACGTCACAATACCCAGGAAGAAAACAATGGAAAAAGAGAAATCTCCAACGAGGCGTTCTGGGGCAGCATAGACAGGTCTTTTCTGTGTTAGAGTTTTACTTGCTACAGGGTGTACTTTGAGGGTTTGTGACTTTGCAGACTGTTTACATGCATAAAAACCTTCATAACACACAAGGGGACGGGTAATAACCAGAAAAGCATGAGATGGGAGCGGACCTTTAAACTCTACCCCTCTCGCCTCTCTTAAAAATAGTCAAATAGAGATTTAATGTCAAAGGTTAGATTGACCGGAAATGGGACCCTCACCGGACCCATTTCCGGTGAGGGTTGGCCTCCGCCAGGGCTGTGCTTTGTCACCAATCCTGTTTGTAATATACATGGATCGGATTTCGAGGCGTAGTCATGGGGGTGGGGGTCTGCAGTTCGGTGGACTAAGGATTGCATCACTGCTTTTTGCAGATAATGTGGTTCTAATGGCTTCATCGGTCTGCGACCTTCAGCACTCACTGGATCGGTTCGCAACCGAGTGTGAAGCGGCTGGGATGAGGATCAGCACCTCCAAATCTGAGGCCATGGTTCTCAGCAGGAAACCGATGGACTGTCCACTCCAAGTAGGGAATGAGTCCTTACCCCAAGTGAAGGAGTTCTCGGGGTCTTGTTCTCGAGTGAGGGAACAATGGAGCGTGAGATGGGCCGGAGAATCGGAGCAGCGGGAGCGGTACTACAGTCGCTTTACCGGACCGTTGTGACAAAAAGGGAGCTGAGCCAGAAGGCAAAGCTCTCTGTCTACCGGGCCATTTTCGTTCCTACCCTCACCTATGGTCATGAAGGATGGGTCATGACCGAAAGAACGAGATCGCGGATACAAGCGGCCGAGATGGGTTTTCTCCGCAGGGTGGCTGGTGTCTCCCTTAGGGCTAAGGTGAGAAGTTCGGTCATCAGGGAGGGACTCGGAGTTGAGCCGCTCCTCCTTCGCGTCGAAAGGAGCCAGTTGAGGTGGTTCGGGCACCTAGTTAGGATGCCACCTGGGCGCCTCCCAAGGGAGGTGTTCCAGGCACGTCCAGCTGGGAAGAGACCAAGGGGTAGACCTAGGACCAGGTGGAGGGATTATATCTCTTCGCTGGCCTGGGAGCACCTTGGGATCCCCCAGTCAGAGCTGGTTGATGTCGCCAGGGAAAATAAAGTTTGGGGCTCTCTGCTGGAACTGCTACCCCCGCGACCCGACCACGGATAAGCGGGAGAAGATGGATGGATGGATGGATGGTTAGATTGAAGTCAATAATGGACAACCAATGGGGCGTTTCTGCAAACAGTTCAATATGTAAGTTTCAAATAGGTTAATAAATACACTATTTAAAGAAAAGTAGGATATCTGATA